CAGTTTTGACAGCTTTCTAAAGAGCAGTCTTTAATATACAGTATCTTCACCATGACCTCGAAGACATTTGCAAGCTCGAAAGAAATTATATAACTATTTCACATGTTAACACTGGGGACTGCAGCAGCAAGATTTCCAGCTGCTCCTAGAAAAGGGTTTACATTAATTCATAAGAGGTGAAGGCATATCCGTTTGTCTCCTCTGGAGCTCTGCAAGCAGCTGTAATTCCAGCACAAGTGAAGTACCTCATGGCTTCCCAACTTGCCAGGAAGCATACAATTGTAAGAAAATTCACAGATGAGTTATGCTAAATGTTTGGTATTGTGACCTGTGATGCAACACAAAAGAATGGTTGTTGTTGCCTAAACTTTAATGGAGTTAATCCTTCCAAATGCTGACAAATTACTGCCTCAGGCCATTTAAAATCACATTTCTAATGCAATAATCCTATCTGCATTACAATGAGTTGGGATGAAATGATTAGGTGCCTGAGATTTTTTTGCACAGTGAATTAAGTCACCATACAGACTGGCCGTGCTTGTTCACAAATTAAAGGTCTGGACGGAAATGAAATTCCATTATTGTGCCACTTGCTAAGCTTTGAGGAAGGGTTCATTACTGTCCTATCTCTACTGGGAACGTTTCTAAAGTAGCTACAAGCTAACGGGAACCTATTTTTCATTAGATCAGCTTGGGGGCTTTCTTCATTATTAATAATTATTAGTCAAGTCTTTGACCACTGAACTCTCCTGAAAGAAGAGGCTAATTCAACAATACGCAAGCAAAAAATGAGACGGTGTCAGTAAATTCACAAAAAAACCCACAAAACTTGACAGTGAATGCAAGTCCTTTCCTTCCTTCTTCACAGACACACTGTGCTCAGACTTTACTCAATTCTTATACTAAGCAGCACAGACTTTTTAGTTATGGGATAGCCCACAATATAAGCCACCCAATAACATCAGTGCTATCCATCTCTACCGTTTATAATAGTATCCTTACTTGCCAACATGATCACAACACGCCTAAGCGGCTATTCATATCTACGCATTCCAATTACCTTTGTTTATATGCTCTATCCAGCATTTTCGGAATCCTGTACAAATTTATAGCCATCAGCTGAAGAGTATTCTTACTACCATTCAACTGTTTATTTATACACAATATAACTGGATACACATCAGTATAGTAACTCTTCAATTGTTAGATGCCTGTGAGGTTAGTCTTCATTGAAGACAGGTGATATCACAGGATTAAATTCATGGCAAACATATTTCACACACATTCTGATAAATAGGGAATATGATGCCATAACCTCCTATGCTAGAATTTTGTCTGGTGCCCTTCTGAAAATATAGCCTAAGTAAAACCTTAAAATTTTAAAAAAAAATTATATATATGTATTAGTAATTTTTGAGGCAATCTTCCTCATCATGCAAATGTAGAATAAACCCCACCAGCAACAGTCACCAAATGCTCCAATATGCCCTCAGAGTACAACTATACCAACCACCTGTACTAGTCATTTCCCATAGGCCTGCTTCACATGAGGGATAGAATAAGATTTAATTCTCGTAAAACATAACCCCTTGTATGCACATAATTGCTGAACATCATTAAGTCATATCTGTATCACAAGAGGAGGAAGAAGGAAACAATAAGCTTTTAGCACTTTTCTTTTTGCTATAGGCAGGGAACCTGGCATTTTAAACAATTAAAATAAGTTAGCACAACCATAATTATATATTCTTCACCTTTGTGCCTCACCAAAAAAAAAAAAAATCTATCCTGTTGACATATTAGGAGAGAATGTTTCTATTTAAAACTGGAAGCTCAACACCTCAGCATTAACAATCAGCTAGTCAGAAGCAGTTTGCTCTAGGTTAAGTGTGGCTTTTCCTCAGTCAAATGAAAAACTTCAGTACATAACTTCATGCATAAAGCCTGGTCTGTGTATGAAGCAATTAAGTATACTAATGCAGTTTACAGACACACACCAACCTTTATGTGATTGCACACATAGAAAACATCAATGTAGATTCACATCTGGGTAGTTACTGTAGGTTTCAGTATATGCTACTAGATATAGCCTAAAACATATAAAGAGATAAACCTTCATATTCTGTTTGTTCTGCAATACATAATACCCCAATTATATTTATTTCTAAATACAGTATAGATGTGGATCAGGTGCCACAGAATGTATCTGTAATGCTAATGATATTTCTAGGCAGTCTTCAACAGCAACAACACAAAACATGCAAGTCAGATCTGGGTGACTAGATGACAGCAGATACATTTTAAATGCTTCATTTAATTGTTCTAATGAAGGCATATTGCCAATTAGCTATATCCCATGGGCACCACAGTCTTGAGTTGTAAGACACTCTGCAATTTCTGAAGGAATACCCAGAACCAGAAATGTGATCTGCTCCTACTTCCACTAAGTGGCAGGATCCATTCTACACCCAAAAAACCTACTTCCATACCAGCAATCAAGAGCACACCTCACAGGACCCTGAAAAATTCCAGCTCCATTAAACACAGTGTGGTGGACTCCTGCCTCAACCCAAACCAAGTTCTCCCCAGACAAAGACAGATTTTCACATTCTTGAGAGCCCCTCTACATCTTGCCCTCAGAGGGCAACTGTGTTACTGTGGCACACACCTGCAAAGGCAGCTCACAGGCCCTGACAGAGCCCACCTCCAATGCCTTACTTTCCCCAAAGCAAACACTGAAAAAGCTACCCAATGACACCAGCAAAAACAAACATGCAAGACCATCACAGCTGGTCCAAAGAAATCAATGGCACTAGCCATGATGTCTGTATATCACATCACCTAGGACAAAGCTTCACTCTGCTGGCTGAAGCCAAAAATCACAAGGACAGAAAGTTCTTAATAGTCACAAAAAAAACAGAAAGGATGAGAGAAAGGGATACTTCAGCAAACAGTCAAAGCCAGTAGCACCCAGGCACAGAAAAGAACTGTGTGCAAAAGGCTGGAGTATCTCAAAAGAACTGAGCCTGTAAGTACTACTGAGCATAGCAAATAGGGTAGAGGGTCCCACAAAGACCACCTTACTTGTGCCTCCTTCCTTGCCTCTACATGCACAGATTAGATAGCAATGGTTTGGTAAGTGGCACTCTTATAGAACTGGAAGGTTTGGAAAGGAGGTGTAAGAAATAAAAAACCCCATAGGTTAGAGTGGCTAAAAAAGAGAAGTAAGGCTTAGTATTGACACAAATGAAGACTGGCCCATACAACAGCATCAACTCAACGTAGTGAACAACAGAATAAATAATAATAGCAATACAAGGGTAACACCTCAGGAAGGCTATGTCATCCACTACTGAAATAAGGGAACGCTATGCAAACCTTTACATGATTGCAAAATTTCTATTAACACTATGTCTTCATGCTAGTTTTATCCTCCCCTCCACCCCAATAATCTCTGTTATTCTGGTGGCTCCCCTATGTGTATCAGTAATTTCCCACCCATGTTCACAGTTGGCAATCACTACCAAATCACACAGCCTGAAATTTGTGAAGATTTTGGTACAGGGCCAGTTTACAGTGAATCAGCCATGTATTAAATGGTTAAATTTACTATTAATTTTGGTGGTTCTACCTTTCCCTTTTCATGAATAATTCAGTTAAGTCAGCTCTTGAGACAAGGTAACAACCAGCCCTTGAGTCTTTTGTTCATGAGAGCACCAACTCCCTCTCAAAAGCACATAAATAAATAATGGAGAGTACAACAAAACAGCAATACCAGGGATCCTTTCTCAGCAGTCTGCTCTTTTCCACGATACCTCTTTATTGTAACCACTAATGAAAAGTCTTTGAAGTGGAAGAGTAAATATTTTCATTTGATAGTACCTGGACCCAACAGGGCAAACAAAATTGTATTGTACTACATTCCAGGAGCTATAGACCCATTCACAATACAACACTCACAGAGTTGCTATGGAGGGACCCAGTGCTTACTATTTTGGTAGCATGAGGTCAGCCAAGGGCTTCTGGTCGCTCGTTTAGGGCTGTTAGCCCTAATCTTTCTATAGGCAACAAACAGGGAAAACAAAAAACAGTGCCCAAAAAAACAAACCCAAGAAATTTCAGAGTATGCTTTTGGAGGTACCAAATTCCCCAACAGAGGCAGAAAGCAAACTTCCAGCTCTATTCTGGATCAGTCAGCTCTTAAAACCTGGTGCCAAATATCAGAAATGCTTACATCCTCTTTAGACACAGGATTATTAAACCCAGTGTTCAGGGTCCTGAAGCTCCAAGTATTTTCAAGTCCTCTTAAGAATAAAAAAAAATAAAAAGTCAACACTTCTCTATAACAGAGAAGCATCAGCAAGTTATCCTTCTTTTAATGACACCCAAGAGAGCTGGGTTCAATGCCATAGTCTGCCACAGCCTCCCTGGGTGACCTTTGGGCTCACACAGCATTTCACTGCCTCATCTGAATCCAGAGCTACAGGAGAGTCTCTCCCTCAATGGAGGTAGAGACCACTGGCACCAGACCATACATACACACCTTACCACTAAGTTGGCTGCCAAGTCTCAGGGCATTTTGTAAATCCATCCTGTAGGGATCAAAGATAGCAGAATGGGAAGGGGCCAATGACTTCCATGTAGAATTCCCACCCTTACTTACCTCCCACTTGGAAAAAAAAAAAAAAAGGCACGCAGGAAATACCACAGAACCACTACCAGTGCAATGAAAGAGGGAGACAAGACCTGAGCTGCAGGGACTGTCGCAAATGCCCCCGGAAGCCTGGCAACTCTCCGGAGACAGAGGCACCCTTCTCCACACGAAGCAGGAGGAAGGGATGGGAAAAGAGAACAAGACCAAGAAGGGGCGAACACAAATAAACCCAAAGCCCTCAGCGGTGACACTGTCAGAGGGGAGCCCAGATGGCCGACAGCCCCAGGGGCTGCTGGAGGCCGCTCCGGGCACAGGCAAGCCCCGCTCCCCTCGGCGCCGCGCTCACCTTGCTGCTGACGGGCCCGGGGATGAAGAGCTTCAGCGCCTGCCTCTTCAGCTCCGCCAGGCGGGCGTTGCAGTGCTCGCACCAGACGCCGCGGTCCGAGCCCGGCGAGGAGCCGCCGCCGCTGCCGGAGCCCGGAGAGCCGGTGCCGAAGCCCGGAGAGCCGCCCAGCGAGCCAGGGGAGCTGGTGCCGATGCCGGGCGAGGCAGGTCCCGGCGAGCCGGTGAAGGAGCCCGGCGAGGACGTGCCGGAGCCTGGGGACGGGGTGCCGGAGGAGCCCAGGGCAGAGCCGGCTCCCTCCGGCGCCGGGCGACCGCCCGCCCGGGACTCCTCATATGCCTTCCTGTACCAGCTCTCGGGGGAGAAGGGAGCGGCGGGCTTGGTGGGGGAGCAGGGGTCGGTCACCTGGAGCGGGAAGAAGGAGCAGCGGGTCAGGCAGGGAGGCCCAGCGGCGCCGCCAAGTTTCGCTCGGACGCTCCGCGCCCGCGGCGGCCCCCGCGCCTCCCCCGCCCGGAGCCGCTGCCGCCCCGCACCGCGGAACTTGCGCGAGGCGGCAGGGCGATCGCTGGCAGCCGGCGGGCGACGGGCGCGGGAACCCCAGCACGGCGGTGGCCACCGCTCCGAGCCGCCTCTCCGCCTACAACTTACCCCGTATTTTCTGCTCCGAGCCGTGACCGCAATCCTCTCCTTATTTCCAGCCACTGAATTCATGGTGGCTTCGTAGGGAGGCGGGAGAATTTCCTACAGGTTTCCCAGTCCGCATCCGAAGGGAATAGCCGGTCCCGGGAAGTCCCCCGAGGAGCGGGCAGGCTTGCTCCCTCCTCCGCCTCCGACGGAATCACTCAGCCACAAAACACCCGTCAGTTCTCAGGAAAACGCTTGGGACTGGGGTTTTCTCCCGGTCGGTTTTTCTTCATTGTCTTCCCTCTCATTCCCTTACAACCCTTGTTTTCACAGAAACAGCAACATCCAGAGCAGGAACTATCCCCCGGCAGGCAGCAAAGCTCTTATCCGCAAGTAAGGCGAAGCATCCAAGGTAGCACTAGGAAGGCAAAGGAAGGAGTGGGAGCCGGGCTCTCCGCCTCCGTTACATCGGCAACTTGTTCCCTTCACCAAGGTTTGTAACTGAGTTAAAAGAAATCCTCCGAAAATATCGGGATCCAGGCTCTGGGAGGAGCCTCCGCGTCCCTTACAGCCAATATCCTCCTGCCCATTTGTGCCTGACAGTTTTGCAAGGGAGGGAAGGGAAGACCCAGGCTGCGGAGCCCCGTGCGCTCCCCGGTCAGCGGCGGAGCTGCAGGGCCGGCGGCTGCGAGCAGACTGCCAGAGGCTCACCGCTGCTCTGCGCGGTGCCTCGGCTGACGGGAGGGTCCATTTTATTTTGCAGTATTCCTTGATTGACATCTGTGATTTTCCTCCCGTTTTTGCAAAGGCGGGCGGGTGCGGGGGCGGGGTGGGGGGGAGAACCTTGTTGCTTTCACCGCAGTTATTGGTTAGTTGCCTCTATTCGGGCTTTATTCACAAGTGTTTCCAATCTTCCCTAAATAACTAGGAAAGAAAAGCAAGCTGTATTTATGACAGGCAGTGGCATCTCTTTTCCTTGTTGTAATTTTAAATGTTATTCATTCAACTTGCAGCCAAGGGCATAATAAATTGATCTCTTAACAATGAAATTCTCCAGACTTGTGTCCCTGTTAATCTTTTCCTTCTAATTATGACTTCTATTTGATGGTCATGTGTATCTAGTTACATATCCTATTTTATTTCAAATCCTGTAGATCGTAAAATCATCTCTAATAAATCTTCCCTCTCAAAACAAGTTGCTCATTTTCTCAGAAATGGAGGCAATAAAGAGCTAAATGTCAGATCCCCTGATAGGGTCATAACATGGATAGGTTGATGCAGATGAGAGGGCAGAACACACAGGGGACTTGCATCCACCTTACCAACCTCCTATTGTTGCTTCCATATAAATGCATCCTTCCAGCATCCCTAGTGTACCTGGGCCATAAAAGCCGTGCGGAAACAAAACCAGCATCACTGAGCAAGGAATCTCCTAGTCCTTGTCTGTCTTCACAGATACTCCGACAATAGTAAAGATGTGTAAGATGCTCTGCTGTGTTTTAACTTTACTATGTTATCACCCTTAGAGTGGAACAGCCATTCCATTCATGTTAGGAAAGCTTTAATTTAAAGCTGACACAAGTGATGCCAGCCAAGATAGCCAGGCTACATCGGTAGTGCTTGTGCGTTTACGTGGGTGACCCCAAAAATTTGAACAAACGAGCAAACAAAAGGAGGTGCACCCCAGCTGCTGCTGCATGCGAATAGGTTTCACATAAATCCGCATGCGGAAATCCCGTGGTTTGTTCTGTAGGCAGACGTGATAGGGATGACAAGGTAAGGCAGGGAAATGCCGTGCGAGCCCGCAGCAGTGCAGAGCAGTGCAGCCTCCGCTGGCCCCACGGCGCTGACGAGGGGCCGCTCACACTGCGGCGTGGAACTGCTCCTTCTCTGGGCTCGGCGGTTCTGGTGGCGAGCTGGCAGATTTCCTTTGTTTTTCGGCAGACGTTCAATTCCCAAGCTGCCAGCTATGCCAGCTATGCCTGCCTAACCACGCGTGCTGCCAGGGACCGCCGCCCCGGGCGCAGCGCCGTGCCCGCGGGCGATCCTGCGGGCAGGGCCGGGCTGACCCTTCCACCCCGGGCGCGCTGGGTCTGGCCGGGACCGGGAGGCTCTGCCGGCCGGCACCCCGGCCTGCGCTCTCCGCACAGACCCGGGGGCCACGGCAGCGGGCGGACCCCGGTGCGGCAGCGCTGACCGCGGGCCGGCGGGACAGGGGCGCACGGCGGCTCTGCGGGCCCGCGGCTGCCGGGCTGGGGGAGCGCGGAGGGCGGGCACCGTCCCGCGGGAGGCGAGGTGGGCTGAGTGGCTGCGCTCCTTCCCGGCTCCGGCGACAGGACGCCGGTCCGGGACGGTGCCGCCCGCCGGTCCTCGGGAGCCCCCGCAGCCGGGCGGGGCGGGCGGGCGGGCGTGCTGGGCCGGGCCGGGGCGCGGCCCCGCGGCGTTGGCGGGCGGCGAGCGCCCCCTGCCGGCGGCCGTGAGGAGCCGGGCGGGGAGGGGGCGGCACCGCCCCTCCTTCAGGGGAGGGTTTGCTGAGCCGGGGCTCCCCCGGGCACGGCTGCGAAAGGCTGCCGGAGCGTGCGTTTTCCCAGGCGGAACTCCGCCTAGGAGATGTAGGACAGGAGGTGCTGCGGGCTGTCCGGCTGGGTGAGGGCTCCCGCAGCATCCCAAAGGAGATGTGTTCACACCCAGGCCCTTCGGGAGGCAGCGGCAGCCCGGGTGATGTTGGCTGCAACAGCGTGGCTGAAGGGGTGCTGGAGCAGATGGAGTAGCCCAGCAGGAAACGAGTGGAACCTATACACGCAGCAGGATCTAGAGGAGAGGGGCTTCCTCGGCCCGTAGCTGATGGCTAAGTTTGGTTGGAAATGAAGTAGGGTCAGGGCTGGTGAGGAAGAAGGACACCCCTAATCAGGAAATTGGGACCTCAGGACACAATGAAATTGTCATTTGAGCCTGAAGAGGCTCGGTAGCAAATCTGCATTTCCTCATTTCTCAGGTCTGGGGGAACTGTTAAGAAGGTGCAATGGAAGAGGACTCTCACAACTTGAGGTTTTGCATCTTTATTGGGCAATAGCTCTGTTGGATCAGCTCTCCCTCCTGATAGGTGTCAGTATTTACTGATATTTTGGGTCATTCAATAAAGGCTTTACTAAATTGTGAACACTTTTGGAAGCTGAGGGACATTCCAAATTCCAATTTGAGGTATTTTGCTGCTAAAAATCTTTCCAGTTATTTTGTGCTGGACAATGTATGGGACACTATAGTATCACTCTACCAAGATGCTCTGCTAAGAACCCTTTCTCTGGAATAATACCTTTCTCTCTGAGAAGTGTTGAGGAATGGCTTTCTCCCTCTCTTTAGGCTCCCTTATGTGGAAGTTGGTTTGGTTTCCTCTAACAAAAACCTCACACTCCATGTGTCACTAATGAAAGAAGATTAGTTAGCAGAATCACCAACATGCCAATGGCAGGCAGCTCCACAGCTACCTCTCAATTTCAAGTTTACACATTCTTTCTGTTATTATAACTGTAGTCATGGGAGTCTGCCTTCACCTTAGTCCTGGCAAATCATTTCTGCTAGCAGTTTAGAAGTTAGACTGATTGTTCTTCTTAATTCGAGACAGAGCTGAAAAAATGGAGCTGTTCAGACTTTTATAAGTAAGTGGACAAGATCCAAACTTTGGATGCAGGCTTAAGTATCAGAGGTTTGAGCAAAAGCTGGTCTCAAAGCATTGCGGCTGGACTTTGATCTTGATCTAAATCTGACACATCTGTGGAGTGTTATGACCTGCCTTTTAGCAAGTCTACAAACTTCCAGTTTCTCCATCCCACTGCAGTGCATTTGACACGGTGTACTATCCCTCTGCTGCCTTCATTGGATATCTTCTGAGTATTTCTCAGTGTGGATGCAATTAAATCTGACCTAGAAGTTCAGCTTCATCACTCAAATCTAAGATGCTGGCACAAGCCCAGTTCTATCCATAAACAATAGTTTTTGAGAGCTGGAAATGTTGGCTGCATCAAAGAAATCCTTTGAGGTATTCACATTTATAATAAATTTCAGGATAAAAAAGGTGACAGCAACTGTAACTTGAAGAGTCATTGCTGCCTGCACAGAAGCTTTTTTTTTTGCAGGTTTGGTGCTAATAACTCTCAGTATCAGGTCTTACTTACAATTTTAAAAAGCTTCCTTGGGGAGATTTGAAATGCACAACAGCTTCAATACTTGCTTAGAGCTGCATATTAATGAGCTGGAGTCCGTTGGGGGACAGCAAGGAAATTGAAGGCATTTGTAGTAATACTGACAAAGAATTAATTGTAAAGATAGAAGCTGCTAATCATTAAAAGCTACAAATAAAATCAGCAGAACTTTCCCAGTTTTATATGATTTTTTTTCTCTAAAACCATTCCAGTTCTCGTTCTCTTCCCCTTGCCCAAAAAATAGGACATTTTCAGCAAAAAGCTCTAGCACATCAAGAAAATTAAGTCCCTTATTGTTTTGTATAGCCCACACGTGAGCAGAAACACATACAGCCACAGCCCAAGTATTCTGCAGGGTTTATGAATACATGCAGCACAGGAGGAAACCAGCTATATGGAATGCATTTGTATTTCTGGTGTTGTGGATTATGTTCCTTCCACAGTATCTGGTATATACTATGCTTCTGCATTGTGTTCTTCTACTTGCTCTTGACAATTGTAAAGCATGATGCCATGGAGAATTGAGGTTGGGCATTTCCTCTGTATGAGCTGGCTGCTGAGGTGTTTGCTGTAGCACGATTTCTAAATCAGTCCCGAGATTTACCTTGTGTGTCAGTGTAAAAGTCGACTGACACTGGAAAACGTGCTTCTCAGTCACTGCTACAATCCCTAGTTCTGGATGGTGTATCACGGACAGGGAACCCTCTACGTGGTCCTTATTACAGCTTCTACTTACTGCTGTTACCAGCAGAACCTGAATCAGTCAACTTTGAATGTCATTTTTCCACCTTGAAACAACAGCACAGTTTTACTCTCTGCCTGACACGGGTACATCTCCTTATTTGCTTAGTTTAGTCCTTTTGACTCAGGGCCATTGCACAGGTGTTTAGCCTGTACTCTTCTTGCTCCACTGAGAGCCTCCTTGAAAATCTCCAGAATCTTAAAGGAAGCCATTTGTGTTCAAATTTGGACAAAGAGTTTCATTTGTTGTAAACCAGTTGCCTTTAAAACTTACCCTTGTCCACTACCAGAAGCAATCTGTTTTCCACAAAGGGACCTGTCTACTTGGATTCATTTTTAATGGAATTTTTTTCTATATCTCAAATGTAAAATATTTCATAGATTTTTCTAGAAAC